GTATGCATTTCTTAAGTCTCTAGGTGGTGGGATAAAGATCAGTGTGCATAAATCACTGACACTCTGTCTCCATGGCAACAAATGGCCAGCGCCCTTCCCCTCCTACAAGGGACTAGCTAAAGGTGAACAAAGATCAGGTGACCTCCTGGCCCGGGAAAGAGACAAAGGCCAGAAAGGAGGGGCTGGAGGGGGTTTTCAGTTTGGAGCTGGCTGGGGATGGGAAATGAGTGCAGACGTGGATGTCTGGCTCACAGGACCCCAGAATGGACCCGGCCTAGGGGTCCCGTTCTTGGTACCTACAAGCTCTGTTTTAGACAGTGTCCCTGTCATCTAATAAACCTCTGTTTTACGGGCTGGCTGAGAGTCACGTCTGACTGCGAAGTGGGGGTGCAGGACCCTCTAGCTTCCCCAGGACCCCGCCGAGGCGGACTTGCTGTGGGAAGCGCACGGACGGGCATATCCTGAATGCTCCAAGGTCAGACCCAGGAGGTGAAGCCATGTGAGCTTCTTGCCCTGGAGACAGTCTGCTCCGAGGGAGAGGAGGCTCCCCAAAGTCCTGACTGGCTTTGTGGGGAGCAGTTCCAGAGCATTACCCGGGGACTCCATGACACCTTCTCTTTGACTATTCTCAGCCACCACACTTAAAATCATTACACCAGTGCCTAAAGTGTAAATCTCACTCAGTACAACAGCTGTGCAACCCTGCTGGCTGGGCCACTCTGATGGGATCCCTGGGGTACAACCTGTGCCCCTAACGCTCAGAAAGCTAGGCCAGCAACAAGCAGCAAACCGCTGCAGGCGCTGTGATCACTCCGCCACCAGCAGGCAGAAGCACACCCAGCTACGTTGTAGGAATACTCTCTGAGCAACCCATGGGACTGGACTAGATGGTCCCTTCCACTCCTATGATTCTGTGAACTATACACAAGGGAACCCCAGCAAATCTCCCAAGCCCCAGCCTTGCACCCCAGTAATATACTGTCTTACACGGCTCAAAACCTTCCGGTGAACAGTGCGAGCTTAGTAAGTGGCTCCCCACTTCATCAAAGGACAGCGAACGTGCACCAGCCTTTGTAACCGGAGCAGATTCCCCACGCACTTAGGACAAACTCACTGGTAAAGATAAAACATTCAAATAAGTTTAACTGCAGAAGGATGGATTTTAAGTGATAGTATGTGGTAGGCATAAGGGTCAGAGATCGTTACCTTAAAGTAAAATGTAAACACGTATGCTAAATCCTAAACTTTTAGACAGGCAAGTGTTGAATCAAACAGTTTTTCTCACCCCACTGGACGTTGCAGGTAGGTGACCGTTCTTAATGCACAGGCTGAATTTCCTCCTCAGTTCGAGTCTGTCTTGCAGCGTTCTTGTTGCCTTCAGCAGAGGTGGGAGAGGAGGACGATGGTCTCAGGATGCCAGTGTCCCGGCTCCTGGAGAGATCCTGGCCCAGGCATGTCCTGGTGAGCCCCGCTGAGTCTGAGTTGAGCAATGAGAGCCACTGTCTCTTATGGAATTGTAGATCTCTTGTTTATAGGTCCCCTGCTGGCCAGTGGTTGTTTAAGACCTGCCTCGGGGTGGGTCACCACCTTCTTCCCACTCATGTCCCTTTTCCCATCTCTCTCTCTCTACTCTCCCCTCCGGTGGCTCAGGCTAGGGGCTGGCCCACCCATGCACTCAGAGCGCAGAGGAGGCACCCCCTCCTTGGGGTAGGAAGGGTGGTCTAGTGGTTAGGCACAGGCCTGGGGGCCAGGTGTTCTGGGTTTGGTTCTCTGCTCTGCCACAGACTCCCTGCTTAGCCTTGGGAAAATCACTTCACCTCTGTGTGCCCTAGATCCCACCTGCCAAATGGGGCTAATACTGACCCTGCCCCCTAGGCTAAATCCATTCATGGCTGTGTCATGATGGGGGAAATGAACATACCCAGGTTGGTAGATTTGGGCTGAATTTCTCCACAGCCTGAGGATGAGCCAGCTCCCCATGGGGGGGAATGGGAGAGAGAGGGGCTCAGGCCAGCTCCCCATGGGGGGAATGGGAGAGAGAGGGGGGGCTCAGGCCAGCTCTGCACAGAGGGGGGTCAGGGCTTCAGTCCTGCAGCTTCTGCCACTAGGGCAGCTGGGGGCTTCAGCGCTGCATCTCCTGCCGGGTCAGGGCTTCTCCTCCCCCTAAACCGCCACTGCACCTACCAGCCCTAGGCTAGCTGGGCTCACTTGCGTCACCTGATGGCTGCTGAGGCCGGAGTGGAGCCTGAATCCTACAGGTGGATGCCATGGCCACCAGCCCACGAGGTGCAGGGCGGTTCCTGGTGAGCAGGGGTGGAGCTGGGATGGAGCAGGGGTGGGGGTTTTGGGGAAGAGGTGGGGCAGGGGCAGAGCAGGGGTGGGGTCAGCTTTCTGAGTCTGGGCCCGGCGCCACGGTAAATCCAGTACTGAATATAGTGCCCATCTTTATAAAAGAGAAGGAGGAGAATCTGGGGAACTACAGACCGGTCAGCCTCACCTCAGTCCCTGGAAAAATCATGGAGCAGGTCCTCAAGGAATCCATTTTGAAGCACCTGGAGGAGAAGAAGGTGATCAGGAACAGTCAGCATGGATTCACGAAGGGCAAGTCATGCCTGACCAACCTAATTGCCTTCTATGATGAGATAACTGGCTCTGGGGATGAGGGGAAAGCAGTGGATTCCTTGACTTTAGCAAAGCTTTTGATACGGTCTCCCACAGTATTCTTGCCAGCAAGTTAAAGAAGTATGGGCTGGATGAATGGACTGTAAGGTGAATAGAAAGCTGGCTAGATCGTCGGGCTCAACGGGTAGTGATCAAAGGCTCCATGTCTAGTTGGGAGCCGGTAGCAAGCAGAGAGTCCCAAGGGTCGGTCCTGGGGCTGATTTTGTTCTACATCTTCATTAATGATCTGGATGATGGGATGGATTGCACCCTCAGCAAGTTTGTGGATGACACTAATCTGGGGGGGAGAGGTAGATATGCTGGAAGGTAGGAATAGGGTCCAGAGTGACCTAGACAAATTAGAGGATTGGGCCAAAAGAAATCTGATGAGGTTCAAGAAGGACAAGTGCAGAGTCCTGCACTTAGGACAGAAGAATCCCATGCACTGCTACAGGCTG